TTTTTACTTACTATGAGTAGTGCTGCTGTGAACATTCATGTACCAGTTTTTGTGCGGAAACGTGTTTTTGTTTCTGTTAGGTAGGTACCTGTGATTGGAATTGCTGATTTATACGGTAGCTCTATGTTTAACCTTTGAAGAAATGCTAGACTGTTTTCCAAAGTGGTTGCACCATTTTATGTTCCAGTTTCTCCACATTCTTGCCATTATTGTTTTGTTTTAGCCATCCTTGTGGCTGTGAAGTATCTCCTTGTGGTTTTCATTTGCCCTTCCCTAGTGACTAATTATGCTTAACTTATTTTTATGTGCTTATTGGCATTTGCAGATCTTCTTTGCAGAAATGTCTATTCAGATCTCACGCCCATTTTTTTTTTTTTTTTTTTGAGAGAGGGAGAGTGCGAATGCACACGTAAGCGGGGCAAGGGAGAAGGAGAGGGAGAGAGAGACTCTTAAGCAGGCTCTATGCTCAGGATGAGATCATGACTTGAGCTGAGATTCAAGAGTCAGATGCTTAACTGACTAAGCCACCCAGGTGCCCATCATGCCCATTTTTAACTGGTTTATTTTTCTTTTTGTTCAATTGTGAGAGTTCTTTGTATATTCTAGATGTAATTCTCTTATCAGATATGTGATTTGCAAACATTTTTTTTCCTATTTTATGCATTGTCTTTTCACTTTCTCAGTGATGCCCTATGAAGCACAAAGGTTTTTTAATTTTGATGAAGTCAAATTTATCTATTTTTTCTTTGATTGCATGTACTTTTGGTGTCATATCTACAAAACCATTACATGCATACAGGTCACCAAGATTTATGCTTATGTTTTCTTTTAAGGGGTATAGTTTTAGCTCTTATATATTTTTTTAGCTCTTTGATCTATATCAAGTTAATTTTTATTTTATTTATTTATTTATTTTTTAATTTTTTTTTTCAACGTTTATTTATTTTTGGGACAGAGACAGAGCATGAATGGGGGAGGGGCAGAGAGAGAGGGAGACACAGAATCGGAAACAGGCTCCAGGCTCTGAGCCATCAGCCCAGAGCCTGACGCGGGGCCCGAACTCACGGACCGCGAGATCGTGACCTGGCTGAAGTCAGACGCTTAACCGACTGCGCCACCCAGGCGCCCCTCAAGTTAATTTTTAAATATAATGTGAGGTCGACATTATATTTTTATTGCGTGTAGACACCAGTTGCCCTGACACCATTTGTTGAAATACTATTTTTCCCCCATTGAATACCCTAATGCCCTGTCCAAAGTCAATTGCCCATAAATATAAGGGTTTCTTTCTTGACTATTAATTCCATTCCATTGATCTATATTTCTATCCTAGGCCAATACCATGATATTTCAATTACTATAGCTTTATCGTAAGTTTTGAAATCAGGAAGTGTGAGTCCTCCAACTTTGCTTCCCTTTTCAAGATTATTTTGGCTCTTTTGCGACCCTTGCATTTCCATATGAATCTTAGGATCAACTCTTTAATTAAAAAAAAAAAAAGACAGCTGGAATTTTGATAGAGATTTCATTAAATCTGTGGATTAATTTGAGAAATGTTGCTAACTTAACACTCTCAAATCTTCCAATTTGTGAACGTGAGATGTGTTTTGTTTGTTGTCTTTCATTTCTCTGAACAGCGGTTTTTGTGTGAATTTTCAATTGATGTCTTGCATTTCTTTAGTTAAATTTATTCCTAAATATTTTACTCTTTTGATGCTGCTGTAAATGAGATTGTTTTAATTTCGTTTTCAGGGGGGCACCTGGGTGGTTCATTCAGTTGAGCGTCTGATTCTTGATTTCAGTTCAGGTCGTGATCCCAGGGTTGGGGGGAGCAAGCCCCAAGTAGGGCTCGGCACTGAGTGTGGAGCCTGCTTGAGATTTTCTCTCTCTCCCCCTCTGTCCCTCTCTTCCACTCGCATTCTCTTTCTCTTTAAAATAAAATAAAACTAGGGGCGCCTGGGTGGCGCAGTCGGTTGAGCATCCGACTT